AAAGTACCCTGAAATTACGTGACAAATAAAGGCAATCTACCGCAGAAGAGGGGTCATTATCGATATGAAGATTTGACCATAAATAGATCTGCATCAAATTGTTTTTAAAATCAATTGTGTTCTCACTTTTCTATATTTTCCTCGCCAACAGTTAAGCCAGTTGGCAATACAGTAGAGCAGAACTTGTACAGTTCAAATCGTTTTCACTGAAAAACTACGAAATAAGGAAGCACCTGTTGAGTGAGGAACCTATAGACATAAAATGACAGCTTACAGCTGACAATTCTTTGTTCTCAAACGAGATTGGATTTCTCTCTGGGATTTCTCAGCAATGATTTTTATAGAACGAGAATGAGAAACATCGCGATATAGCCCTTTGTAGCATTTTCCCTGAGTGTCATAAAAACGTGGAGTAGAGATTTATCCACGCTGCGGTACACAGACTGTTGCTTTCATTTCTTCCATTTACCTCAGATATGTGTACTGTACATTCTGTACATTTATACGAGATGGGATGGTTTTATTGGAATCCTCTATGAAATAGTTTATTCGATGACAAAGCAGTAGCTTAACCAGCTGTAGATTTCACTCTCTCTTTCATAAAAACAGAATGAAAATAAACAGATGAACTTTTGCGGCAATTATCTTGACATTTCTCAACGACTTTTGCCCTCATAGGGCGCTCCTATCATTACATGGGCTGATATAACTGATGATCATTTCGACACAGGGCCAAATATAAAATAATAAACTGAAATAGATTAGACGAATATTTCGAAGGTAATTTTTCGTACTCCTGCCAAGACCGAGAACTAAAACCACGATTTAATGCGCTAATACCAAACTTTCGATTCAACTAGTTTCAGGACTGTCATTTCTCAAAAATTTGTTAGGCTCCATCGTATCCCACAAATATTTGGATGTATATTCTATGGAATCTACCTGGATTGAAGCCTTATTTCTGACAACTCAAATTTGTGAATTTTTTCGAGGAGGTGGAGGGACGGACTGTGCCGCAGCACGACCAGACGACGTAACATGAAACTATAAAGGTTAAAATGGAATGGATTTATGAAAGTTTCCAGTTCTGATGAAATTCTTTTCTTCTGGCAGCTTCTCTTCTTGCTAGATTTCATGGATTTCATATTGATTTGTTTCAAGATTTTATAGGATTTCTGCACGATTTCATAATAATTGAGATGTATTCATTAATCTAAATCGTTCGATTACCCTTATTCTCTGAGAATTTGCACAGAAAGTTTTTCTAAAGAATGTGCGTTAATTAAATGTTAGAAAAAAAAATATACCGATGTTATTAATTGTGTCGGCTCATTGTCCATTGGTCCTCTTGGAAACCTGTATAAATTTTAACCACCTAAATACGATTTTGTTCCGCACGCAACCGATCAAATATCTTAACTGTTGTTAACCTCCGTGAGATCATAATAAGTTTATTTTCCTTGACAGGAACATTCAAAACTAACCGTGCCTTCGTTAGTGAGAACTGTCGGGTTTTTCGCGAAAGCCCCAGAAATGCGTGGCAAGTCTGCGGGGGAAAAGCACGAAAACGGTTTTCGTGTTTTCATACTTACACGCTAATACATTTTCAGATGAAAAGTCCATTTACCTAACGGTACACAGAGGCTGCACCGCGCTCTGTTCGCCGTGCAGCAAGCACGTTTGTCGAAATCGGACAGAAGTAAGTGCTTTCACAGTGTTGCGAACTGGAAACGCGCTAATTTCCCGCGCCACGGCACGGTTCGCCTCGTCTCGACGGCTTCTTCTCCGTCAGGTCTAAATTCCTGCGTTGCCTCACTGAAAAAAAAATCTCGGTGTATTTACTAAGAAAAGGGTAAAATTACCGAGAATTCAGGGTTCTATTTGATCCCAGTTTTTTCTTGGTAAAATTACCATTTATGGAATTGGTAATTTTACCGAGAAATCTCGGTAAAATTATTGACTTTCTCGGTAATTTTACTGAACCCCAGTAAAAATGCCACACTGAGAAAAAAAGTTCGGTAAATCCGAACTAGTTAGGTTCATATGGAACCACGATTTTGTTCGGTACACACGACCGAATTATTTGGTCTGCTCAGCCGAACTGTTCGGTCCACTGAACCGAACCGTAAGAATTTATTATGGTTCGGTTGCACAAACCAAACGATTCGGTTGAACAGATCGAATAATTCGGTTGTGTGTACCGAACAAAATCGTGGTTCCATATGATCCAAACTAGTTCGGATTTACCGAACTTTTTTTCTCAGTGCAATATTTTTTATCGACTGTGGTAGAATTACCGAGGTAAAATGGCATAGTTACCGGGAATTGATTACCGACAAACGTGGTATTCTTACCTGAAAAAAAAACAGTAAAAATACCGGTTTTTAGGTAAGCTTACCAGTTTGTCTTGGTAAAATTACCAATAATTGGTAAAAAAGTGAGATGGTAAAAGTACCAACGGACCTTGGTAAAAACGCCGAGAATTTTTTTTCAGTGCACGAATTCTGAATCAGCCTCATGTTTCATCATTCTGCCGTGCTAAGGAAGAACGCCGTATGAACATTCGAGAGTTGCCAAATTTCCTTCGGTGAAATAGTAATTTCTGAGGAAAGTTATGAACATTTTCCCTTACAATTTTCAGGACTTTTTGGTGGAATTGCGAGGAAAATTATCTGAAAAATTGGAAGGAAAATATTCATAAGTTTACCGGGAAATTCGTTTTTTATCAAAGGAAATTTGGCAACGCCTGAAGGTTCATGCGGCGTTCTTCCTTAGTACGGCAGCATTCCCTTTAATGCAAAATCATAAGAGTAACGCACAACGCCTGAGGCGCGAAATTTTTGGAGGTTGGACCGTGGAGCGGTCAGGGGGCGTACCTTCTGTTTTCATTTCGTTGTAAAGCAGTATTTCAAATAATAAGTTCCAGGAGGCTGATTCTGAAATTGATCGACTAAGCTATGCACAAAGAAGACAAAGGGAAAATGGTGCGATCCTACCGATTAGAGAGGGTGGTAGAGGCATAGGGAGAAATAATGAATGCACTTAGATATGGGTATGCAAAAGAGCATCTTCGGTAGTTTTTAATTACTAAATTTTTGAAACGTTCGCACTGAGAAAAAAAAGTATGGTTTGAGTGACAGTGATATAAGAGCCTCAAAGAGAGCTTTTTGTGAGCTTCGGAGTTGATTTCAGAGAAAACTAGTGACACCATCGTGTTTCTCGCGAGACATGACATGAACCAGTAAATCCCATATTTCTATCACACGCAAGAGCTCCTTTCACTTATTTTTTTACGGAAAAACGCTCATTTTTGTACCTTGTTGGCCATCTTG